GATAATAAATATAAATGCATTATTATTAAAGTAATACCCCATAAACCCTTTTAAAACATATTTTATTTGCATTCAATTATTTAAAACATGTAATACATGCTAGATAATATTATCTACTCAAAAATAGCTAAACAAAGCAATAAGAAATATAAATTTTTCTGTTATCTCAACCCTTTCATACCAAAATGGTTTTCCCTTGTACCAAAAATAAGACCTAACTTATCCCGTAATTTCTAAACAAATTCCACTAACAATTCCTACAATATATAAGTGATTCATATCATTTATCAAAGAAAATAGCAAAAAAGAAAACTATAACTCATACCACACAACTTAGGTTAATGAGCTATAATGTCATGCCCTAAAAATAGAGGGTGACTGGCACGGGTGTAAATTACATCATGTATTTCCATAAGCCTTAAAATAAAAATTCATTCTATTTTTTAAAAAGAAACAAACAGATCATATAGAACTTCTAACTCTTTTAATATTAATTGTCATAATAAGACTTCAATATTTTTATAAAAATTTTGACAGAACCTCCCCCATAAATAGGATCTCCTAAAAATTCTACAACAAAAGCTTTCACAAAATATAGTATCAATCAGGGGCTTAGCTCCTTCTAGCTAGTAATAGTATATATAGATAAAAATAAAATTTTAACAACAATCTATGTGGATCACTAATCTTTCTTTTAAATCAAAATACATACAATTTATATTTTTACATCAAAAGTGATAATACCAACCAAAATTTTCACCCAATATAGCTATATTGCCCTTCAGAGGTCAGTGGTGGGATTAGTGTCAGCTAACAAATTTGAGACCAAAATAAGTTTTTCAAGTGAATAGCATTTCCAAAGTAAAATTTAAAAATTTAAATTATCAAACTCAAATAATGGCGTAAACTATATAAAAAAATAATTCAACATAATAAACTTGTAGGTCTGTAAGTCATAACCATAATCGTAAAATGAAAGTAAATTGAAAGAAAAATATTTTATCATGTTTAAAGAAAACAATTTACTCACATATAAATTAGAGTGATATAATTGCTAGCCAAAATCATATAAGTTTTGAAAACATATATTGGTCAACATTTAGAATTTTGAGAACTCAACAGAACAGGTAACAAACATGAACACATAATCTATGGGGGTAAATAACCACATGTGGCTTATGCCACAAAAATGAATATGGACACACAGTCTATGAGGATAAGTAACCAAACGCAGCTAAAGCTACGAAAACAAATATGGACATATAGTCCATGAGGGTAAATAACCAAACGTGACTTATGCTAAAAAAATGCAAGTATAAAGCACGAATATCAAATGTGAGAACAAAGCTTAAGAGACAAATTAGTTAGTTTTTAACCACAGCACGCTATGAGCTAATGGAACTGCTATTAGCAGTAGTGTTCTATTTAGAGTTCTCTTAAAATTATACTTCAAACATGTGAGAAAAATAATTATCATTGTAATAAATTATTATTTTCAATTTCAAACTCGCATGAATTGTTTCAAATCTCAAAATTTGTCAAAATCATACTTTATGGCTAATATACCAAACTTGTATTAATTGGGTAGCCAATAAATTTCAAAGCTTAACAACCATACAAGAATGCTTTCATCAATCTTGGAAATATTTTTTTTGAGAATAAATGAATGCACATATCATAATTTATTTATCTTTCATCAACGTTCCATAATTTTCAAAATTAATGTAATTCATAAAAATAAAATATTTTAGTAAAAAAATTATTAAAATAAATTAAATGGAATGCTATTCACTTACTTGTCAGAGTTTCAAATTCTCAAAAGTGTCCTTCCTTTAATTTAAGTCAGGGTCTTGTTTTTCCCTACATCCTATCAAAATATAAATAAATGAAATTTTTAACATAATTTCAAATCAACCCCATCATCTAAAATTTTAAAATTAACGTTCATGTTTTAGAAAGTTTACCCACGTATTATCATTCATGGTTTCCTCCAATTTGTCCTAACCATGCCAATCTATTGTTCTTGAGACAATTTTTTCTACTAGGTATTTTATCAAACATTATATAGGCATAATTTATCAAGCTAATGTTAGTATTTTCCTCCTAAATTCTAACTTCCCAAAACCTTGCAATATCACTAATTCCATCATTTTCAAATGGAACTCTAACCTGCAACATCATCTTCCTTCATTGTACAACCACAATATCCATTTAAACTAAAATTTTCCTTGCTCTATATGCACGGCTAGTCACAGGGGAAGTGAATTTCTGAAACTTCAACCCTCAAATCAGAGTTATGATATATTGTTACCAAGTTCAGATGAGTTCCAAGCTTAAAGTTTCAGTCTTCTCCTCTTTATAACAGCATAGGCGATGATAGAGCAAAATAAAGTGATGTAACTACATACACACAGAAACAATAGTGCGCGCACACACACTCACACGTATAGCTAACTCATAAAGGGAAGGTCCAAAGTCCCTCACCTCAGCTTAGCTAGCCCAGATAGCGGCAGACAATAGAGAAGAGAGAAGAAGGTCCTTGAATACTGAACAGAAGAGAGAGCCCGACGCTGCACACATTAAGGGAAGAAGGAAGGATGAAACTAATAGCAGAACAGGGGAGCAGAAAAACTGGATGCTACTTGTAAGGAAGCTTAACAAATGAATCAACAGCAACAACTCAAGCTCACTATAGCACCGCTGCAGCTCTAGCAACTTGGTCTCTCGTCCTAATAGCCACTTGAAGGTGACGACACAGATCTAGCTGACGATGGAGAAGGAGAACAGAAACAGGGAACATGGAAGGAACAAAACAGCACAGCCACAAGCTTCACTCTCACTAGCGACCACCGGAAACACGAAGGAGAAGAAGAGTTGGTGAACACTGGAACAAGAAGGAAGAGAAATCAGAGCCTCTCTCTCGCATGTGATCTGGAATAATCCAAGAGGGAAGGAGAATTCTTCTCTCTGTTTTTTTTTTTTTTTTTTTTTTATCAGAGATCAAGAGGGCAGTTGTATAATTTCACAAGATAAATAAGCAGAGGTACAAATGAGACTCCTTGTGGGCTTGCTCAGACTCGAAGTTGGGACCAAGTGAAAATGTATCAACATAGCTACCACTGCGTTAGCTTTTTCTATTGACATAATTGTCCCAAGATTTAATATAAACACACTTAAATTATCACACACACACACACACACATTTAGTTTAAGTTTATTTTATCAAGGTTATTACTTACAATCTATCCTAATGGTCTATATATTAACCAACCATTTATATAGTATTATTTAACCACCAAAATTATTTATTAGCCACTACAAGGTTAATTTTCAGACTATACAATTTTTAATCAATTAAAAACCTTCATTTAGTATTATTACCTTTCACAATTAGCCCTTATAATAAAAATCAAAGCTCAATTTAAATCTTGTTAGATTCAAATAGCATAATTAAAACTAAATAAATAGGCTCAAACTATTGATGAGCAAAATCCAATCCTTTAGGGTTTAATTTGTCCATAAAACACCCTTCTTTCATTCAATTGCCCACCTAAAATATTAGAGATCTATATAGAAACTTAAAACAACCTTCCTAGAACCTGAAGAAACTAAAACTTACAAGAAAAAAGCCTTTGAGATCAAAATTCAAAATTTGCTTCTTCTAAAACCTCAAGAAAACCAAGGGAGAAGGAAGATAATTAAAGTAAGAAGTTTACCTATCGTGTAGCTAAGCTTGCAACGGCCACAAAGCCTCCAAAATCCCCTCTCTTCCTTTTCTCCTCTCCTACTCTTCTCTCTTGGTCTCTCGTGCTCTCTTTTCTTTATTGTTCTTGCATTTTGTTTCTTGCTTCTTTGTTCTTTGTTTCTGCGTTCTTTTCCTCTTCAAAAATTGATTTAGACATATTGGAAAAAATTACAAGGAAGGACCTAACATTTTTTATTATAACACAAAAGCTCTGGGCAACGTTGGTAATTTTTTTCATAATTAAAAATAAAATAAAACTAAACTTTTGCTTAATAAAATTCAAAATTTGGACACTCTATTAAATTATTTTTAATTTTAATGTAATTATAGAATTTTATTTTATATTGAATTCATGTCTTAAAATTTCAAGATGTTACAATACACATGGACATATTTTATATTTTATAAATATAAAATATTTTGTAAGTACAATTGCATTTATGCATTACCCTCCCCTCTTAAATTATTAAATAATAATTGTATCCTACATTTTAATATTATATATATATATATATATATATTGTCATCATGATTATTATTGTTGTTGTCTTAGGGTGTTACACTGATAACTTGTCAACAGGCTATAAACACATTATTAGTGATTAATTACAAAAAAGTACAATGATAGGAAATATTTAATTAATGCACCTTTTTCTTTAGTTCTGGAACCCATAGTAGATGAGAAAACCAAGCCATGAAGCTACATAATGATTCTTGTATAGTTTTTGCATTTAGTGTAGGCACAGGCAAAGGATAAATGGGATCATACATGACCATTAGCTTCACTTTTACATGATGAGCAGGGAGGGGCACGTTATAAATCATAGTGCTTCTTGTAGTGTTGTTCATGAGTCTAGTTGCAACCATACACAAGTGCGAGATGTCAGCCAGGCACTCAATCTCAACCTCTCCTTAAACAAAAGGAAAAAAAAACATTATACCACTTGAGAGAAGAGTAAGAAATAAATAAAATGAGCAAAACTAAGGCATTTTGCAACATTACATCATGTAGTTTTGGAGAGGGGATGCCCACGCATCTTTCTTTCATACTTGAGAGGCTAAACTCTATTACAGAAATCCCAAGCATATGTCCCTTAAGAAAGATTTCAATATACTTATTTTGTTGCTTCACGACTGCTTAGGTCTTGTGAAGCTCTTGCAATGACAAATCCACCTCTACAGAACTGGCAGTCTTTATGGGTTTCTTTAGGCCCTTGGTGAAGTACTCCTTTTTGGTTACTCTAAATCTTATACCCTAAACATGACCAGGGTGGTCAACGTTTTCCATTGCCTTCTTCAAGACATCATCGCTAAGAGGTAGAGTGCTTGATTCTACCTCTTGAGACAAGGCCACCTATGAATTACATAATAGAGGATAGTAAATACAAATGAATAAAGAACTTATTATACAACAAATAAAAGCAAATACTACTTACAGTTTTGTTGGCAACCTCCTTCATGTAGGGGTCTTGAATGCTTCCTTGATTATCATATACCGAATAGTCATTGATTGTACTAAAAAGCATGGCTCTCAAATTGAACTTCTCTTCCCTACAATCATCATAGACTTCCATACCCATGTCCTAAAGTAATTTCAAATCTTTAATCACTAGAGCCAAGTACATGTCTATATCATTTCCAACATTCTTCTTGTAATATGGTGCCATGTACTTAAGGCAATAGGTCAACAATTCATATTCTCCCTTGAACAAAATACTATCATTGATGCACATGTATCTTTTCATGGCTTAGGCCAACAGAGTATAACCCTGTTTTGCCTTATATAATTGGCTTGGAAACTTGTTGGGCTTTAGTAGTATTTCTTTTATGATAGAGAGATTTTTTTGTTAAGCTTGCATTGCTCCACCCATGTCTTGCTTTCAAGTTGTAGAATCTCAATATTACAGACAATATTGTTTATTCACAACCCTAATACAAAGGTGTCTTTGCATCACTCTTCAACCTCTCCAATAATTCTAGAAAATTCTTAAGTACCTCTTCCATGGCATCTTCCAACTCTTCAAGATTGGCAGCCACATATGTACTTGTGTAGGAATTAGGGGAATGACAGCTTTCATTGTGCATTTAGCTACAATTAATCTCATCCAGTGTTTCCCCATGTAGTGTCCAACACTTATAACTTTGATCGATTCTAAATTCCATCAAGTGGTCTTCAAGTTTTTGTGAAGATGCATGCCTCACAAAATTATATTACACTTCAAACAAGGACATATAATTCTTTCTAGATCTTTGGCATGCTCTCTTGCAAACTTAATGGATTCTTGAACCTCATCCTAGTATTCTTGAGATGTATGTTGAGTAGACATTCATTTCTTATCTATAATGTCAAACTAGCATTAATCACTTGAAAAGAAATGCAATTAGTGACTTAGCCAATTAAGATAGTTAAAGCAAGAAAAATCAATGCTTGAGTCACATACTATCACATATTATCCCTTTTTGATTGTAGAATCGACACTAATATATTAAACATGATTTTATCATGTCCCATTACACTTGGAAAAAAATTTGACAACATAACTTAAAATCAAAATGCCTCAGGCCTAATGCCCTCTCTTTATACTATTTTAAAATAAAAAATTAGTTCAAACCTATGCAGAACACTAATTAAAAAATTGACAACATAATAGCACAAAATGAATATTCTTAGGCAAAATAATGCCATGTTTCTAATAACAAAAATAGAACATTATCATAGCACCACTATAATCGTTTTACCATATTAACCAACACCATCATGTTTTTGTTGTATAGTCTAATATTTAGTAGTTATTTAAAAGGAACTAGTATAGATATCATCATAGCCACCTTTTTATTTACAGAAATGCTACCTCCTCCTATTTCTATACCGTATGCGCCGTAACCGGTGTAGATATGGGGTTTAAATATGCTATTTTTCACTATTGAGTAAACACCTTTAAAACGTCAAATAAACAATTCAATTAGTCCCTTGTTTAATCAATTATTCAAAATTACAAAGTTTAAGTTTTTAATTAGCTAGGATGTTACACCACGTCTTTTTATTTTGGTTTCTTTTTGTTTTTTGTTTTTGAATATCTGTACCCGTAACGTCTAGATGATAAAATCGCACTATCACTTTAACTTATATGAAAGGGACGATTATGTCCACCCAAGTCCTTAGAAATTGAAGTTAAGAAATGACTTATTAACAACTGTAAGTATTTTTTTGGACTAAAAGCGATATTTGAGAGTCAATGGCTTCTTGAAAGAATAAGTATCCCACATAACGCAATAATGTTGTGTGATTCATTTAACCGTTCTCACTTAATGTAATAAAACTTCTATTGATGTTGCTGTTAATTACCAGGACAACAAAAGTTAGAATTTTATGTCATTTTACCATAACTCTTTCAAATCTCCAATCAAATTTCATAATAACAAATAACTTGTTCATTAAAAATAGTTATGAATTTTAAGATCATAATTTTATCATAAGAGAGAAGAGGCTACTACTCTTTTCCATTAATACTCGTAAAAACAACACAAATCAAACCATTGTACTAGCAACCGCATGAATAAATTATAACCATCATTAAAGTCATATAGACACCTCCTTGTTGAATATCCAGCTAAACTTGGCACGAATTGGTTTGTGTTGTGGGTCCTTTCATGGATCTTCCTAATCCTAGGTGCTAGTCCGCACATAAAATCCTGTGCACGTTTTGCATCGCTCGTTAAACCCTCCAACTTGTCTAATCTCCACCTTCCGATCAAAAACTCCAAGATGTCTGCATAATCATTTGTCGAGTACACCCCGAGTCGTTGGGCAACATGAGAGAAATGTTGAAACATGTGGTCGTCTTGCCCATCGTACATGAGATGGGCAGGCATAGTGATTTTCTTGTGCATCATTTCTTCAATGGCTAGCATTGCTCCATTGGGGTCCACTTCTAGAAGCTTCTGCACAATCCTTGTGTAAGCATTTTCATGACGTTTTTCATCAGCAGCAGTGGTGCCACATATGCGTGCAAGCACTAGATCACCACCTTCCTTAGCTAAACGAGCTATGTTGCCATGTGAGATAGCAGTGGATCGCTCTTGAAATGATTTGTATACAAATCCCAAGTAAGGATTGTTCTCAAATCCTGGATCCTGCAAATCAAACCAATCAATTTATAATAAATATTTATAAATAGTAAACGTTAAGCTATTTTAATGGGCTAGGGAAAGTTGACATCTTTTATAAAATTAATGAGCATTCATGTTCTATTGTTGACTTAAAGATACCAAAAGTTCTTGAAGAAAAAGTTTTTGGATTTTTTTTTTTCACTTTGTTTAACCCCAAAATAATCAAATAAATTATCTTTCAATAGTAAAATGTGACTTGTTTACTGAATAATAGATATTGGTCCTAGCTAGTAGAAGAGACTATCGCCGGTTGAGTAAAGGATATTAAATTTGAGTTTGTTTGAATGCAAAAAAATTTATTTGAGAGAGCTACTTCTAATTAAATCCAAAAATACAACAATATGACCTGGTAATCAAATAGTTGTATAAAAAGAATACGACCCATTTATAATCACGCCGAAGGCCCAATATGAGCCTTAGTTATCTTTGAAAAGTTTTAAAGGACATGCATTAATAACTCAAAACTAGTTGTCTTTTTCCATTATTCAATATTGCAAATCATATAAATATCCTGTATGTTAACAAAATTGCATTCTAGGTCCGTATGCAATATTTAGTAGGTAAAAAAATATGTTCTAAAACAAAATATATATATATATATATTATTTTCTTTCTGGATATGTCTCCCATTTATTTTCTAGAAAATAATTTTCCATATGTACCAAACATGCATGTTCTTATAGTTTTCGCTTATTTGTTTTCACAGAGATCAAAATAAAATAAAAAAACAAAGAGAAAGAGAATTAAATTATAACTCTGTGTGTGTGTGTGTGTGTGAAAAGCATAGAGAAGTACTCACAATGCCATTCCTAATCAAATACTGAATGGTCTTTTCGATCATCAACATATCAACTCTACCGGACAAATAGAGATAAGCTCTGAGCAAATCGCCATGTCTATTCTCCTCAGCAGACCAAGATCGAGTCCATATAGCCCATGGACTCGATCCCATCTCGTCTCTTACTCCATCCATGTTGTTTAACATGGTCTGGTACGTAGGCAAAGCTTCCTCTGTGATCATATCACCCACCAACACTACAAAATACTCGTCTGGAATCTCAGCCATCCGATCACGCAACGCCTTTACTTGATCATTGAAATCTTCCAACGATAATGATGAGTCAGGCAAAAAGTCTTGTGGTTGCCAACTTTGTTCCATTGGTTTCAACAATGGCAGAACTCGCTGCGAAGCCCAACTCTCTAGTGACTTGAAAACTTGTATCTTGTGATGATCCTGTGGCATTATTGAGTTGTAGTGTGCTTTTGTGGCTTCTACAGGCTTCAAATGATGCGTTGGTCGTATTGCAAGAGTTTGTGAAGATAAGAGATTGGAGATCTGCATGATCTTGGCAAAAATTTGGTTTTGTGTGAGTGTAGGTATTGATTGAGGAGAAGACAGTTATTATGTATTTTGATTGGTATGGAGATGGGAACCAAGTATATATATTATATTGGACAATAAATGATGGAGTTTAATTGAGTTTGATTACTTCCATAATGTTTTTGTTAGATTATATTCTTCCATAATGTTTTAACTACCATTTTTATATCAGTGTGAGCCACTTTAAAATTTCAGAACAATATTAATTAATCCCCAAAATATATAAAGGGTAATTAGGAACGCAACATGTGATAATTATTTTATAGTCCCTGAGGACCTGCTTGACAATTTTTGTTTTGTTTTTAATGAAACGTGACATATTTGCTCTTATTTTAAAATTTATTTGGGAAATCCAATAATTAAAAATCAGTTATTATTCTCTTTTAGAAATTGACTAGTTTTCTTGGGAAAACGATTAGAACATATACCAAATTACAAGTTGTTATGGGCAATTTTTTTTATTAATGGAGTTTAACAAATAAAAATCAATGACTACTTTCTTTTGTAAAATGATTGGTTTTCTTAATGAAATGATTGTAATGGAATAGTAAATTATGTACAAGTTGTTTTCTGCAAAAAAAAAAAATTATTAGTGAAGTCTAACAACTAAAAATCAGTTAGTACTTTTTTGTTTGGAAAATGACTAGCTAGAATGGAATATAAAATCATAAGTTATTGTGTGCAAATTTTTTTTACCATTGAAATCCAACAATTAAAAATCAATTATTACTTACTTCTAAAAAATGGCTAATTTTCTTGGAAAAACGGTGAGAAAGTAATAGCAAATTACAAGTTCTAACTGCCATCATTCTTTTATTTTTCAAAAAGGTCAAAAAGTCTTTTCACATTAAAGCTAGTTTGCAAACAAGTCCCTATAAACTAAAAATAATTATCACATTTTGCAGTATCCAATTATTATTTGCATATTTTGAGAGTATTTGTTTTCCTTGTTTTCCCTTATTTGATTTCACTAGTCTTTTTTATAAAAAATTTTTAATTGGATCCCACGGATTAAAACATATAGTTAAAATTTACAAGAAAAAAATAAAACATATACTCTCTATATTAAAAAATATTGGGCATTTTTAATTGAATTTCATCACTCGATAAAGGAGTTACTTAATTTCAAACTAACCTTATCTTTTCATATTTACTTCTATTAAACACCCTACAATAAATATAAAGTCATTCATCAATAGGAGCACTTTTTTTTAAAAGGCAATGATTACACTTCAAAAGACCAAAAATGCCTACATTTTTTAACATTCAATTTTTAAAAAATGTCTTACATTTTTAAATGGAGGGAGTAGTAAAAATTAGTTAGAAGCTATCATTTTATCAAAAAAGTTGTAACCTATATTTCAAAAATAAAATTAATAGAAACCGAACTGATATTTGTGACTTTTGTCTTGGAACATTTAACCAGAGGCGATTGATATTTCCTTAAATACAAAAAATTGCAATTCCACTAACTTTGTATAAAAGAAAAGAAAAACACAATATGACCTAAATGAATCTGACATAGCTTCAAGCAACATTATTAAACTCACGGACAGGAGCTTACAAGACAGGGACAGGTGACATAATTAGCAAAGAAAAATATCTTATCTTATCTTTTATTTATTTATTTTTATTCAGTAAAATATAAATTTTTCACTGTTCATGGAACAGTGAAAAATAATGGTATCATGGATCCACCGTTCTTTTTTTTTTTAAAAAAGTTCAATTGCTTTTTTCCAATTTTTGTGTTATGCTATTTTTTCAAACAATTATAATATGTTATGACCTACTAAAAATAGACAATATGATGAATACAATATAGGACTCATATTTTATCAAGCCAGAACTTCTTATAAAGATATATATTCCCGTGAATTAATTTCTAGAGACAAATAAAAAAAACAATTGAATTTCTTCTTAATTCCCTGCATTGCGCAGGCCGTTTTTTAGTTTAAGTTAAAGGATATTTCTACATTAGAAATATTCACGGAAAAATAACTGACACTTTCAATAATGTTAATAGATTGGTGCCCTTCTGGTGTGTGAAAAAAACAGGATTGGTGCCCTCACGTTTTTCTTTTGTTTAAATTTAAGGCATCTTTAATAAGTTTAATCAATTTTAAAAATATTTCTTAATTTTTTTTGAGGGGTTGATAAACTCTTGTTTTCCCTATAGTCCTATTTTAAAGACATTTTTGACATGTTTTATTGAAATAAAAAATTTTAAAATTTATTAATTCAATCTAAAAATTTAATAAGTTTTTAACTATGCTTTTATTAATTACACTCTCTCCATTCGTTCATTATAAGAGAAACTACCTTCATTGTTTTTATAAGGAAAAATACAAATTCAAGAAACTTTGTTAAATTAGAGGGGAAAAAGTAGGCAAAATAACAATAAAATCCCACCAAAATATATAATGATAATTAGATCCCTTAAAATATAATAATTCCTTTAAAGTCTCTAGATACTTTTCTGATGTTAATGATTTTAGGTTAAAGAAGGTAGATTATAGTGGTTAATTGAAATTTTAAATAAATAGGAGATTTGAAATTACAAAAGGAATTATACAAAAAAATGAATTTAGATTTGGACCCATAAACTATTATTGATCCAGATGATAGATTTAATTTATATTGATTTGGTCCCCTATGCTTTTTTAAATTATCATATGAGTCCTATAAGTATTAAAATACAAATTGACTCTCAAAATAATCTAATATATATTTAGTTAAATGAGAATAAATTAACTCTCAAATTAGTTTAATTTTTATTAATATGATCACTTACACCATGTTTTGTTCTCTTGTTTTTTTAAAAAATTCAAAGTTTGTTTTTTCTACCTAAATAATTATACTTCTTTTCATTAATATGTATGACTGTGATCAATATTTTGTTATCTATATAAGTGAATTTTAACTATGCAATTTCTTTTTTATATAATAAGGACCAAATTGATAACTAAATTAAACTTAAAAGACTATGCATCGATAAAAAATAAACTTGAGGGCCCAAATTGCTAACCAATACAAACTTAAGGGACTAAAAGGTGTAATATCCCATTCAAATTCAAGTCTAAATCTTTATTTCTATACATCCATACGTAACATAAAAGAAATATATATTTTGAAATGCATTGAGTAAGTTGTAAATTTTATAAATTACGTTGACAAAAAGTTTTGAACCTTTATTACTACCTCCATTCTACTCTATCTACCCATACCCCATCAAATGCCTACAAGTGATTATGGAAAAATTTAGTTATTTAACTAAACAAGTACATTAACTTAATTAATTACTTTCATTTTCATAAAAAAAATTTTCAAGAAGTGTTTCAACTAAGGAACAGGGATGTAATTAAATTACTAGTAGGTCCCCAAAAATTTGAAATTTTTATTTCAGTCAAGGAGGACTGAAGTGGAAATAACTTAGCGGTGAAAAGATCAAAGTACCCTTCACATGCATAATTATTAATGGTTAATTTTCTTACTTCACTTATTAAATTACCAATATGAGTTGTAAATTACATCAATTTGTCAGACAAATAATAATATTAGTTGTCATATAATTTACAACTAATGTGATTATATTAACAAGTAAAGTTAGTAATTTAACAATGGATGTTGCTGCTTGTGACTGAACAACTGATGTCAAGTCTTATATAATTATTGACATGTCAATTTATGTAAATTACAGCTCATCCTGGTAAATTAACAAATGACGTAAGAAATTAACAATTAATAATTTTGTATAACAAGTGAAGGATACTTTGATCTTTTCACTGTTGAAATTATTTTCATTTCAATCCTCTTGAACTGAGCTACAATTTTAGATTTTTTTAGGACTCACTAATAATTAACTCACATCTCTTATCCTTAATTGAAATTATCCCCCAAAATATTTATACTTTCTGGTCAAAATGACAATTAATATGGTTAGTTGTGCCTGCATTGTCACCGCAAATCTGATTAGCTACACAAAACCATTGTTTCAGATGTCAGACATGCATGTTCGACCATTAATATCAGTAAAAAATGGAGGAGTGATTTGCACACCAAACACCCACTAACCGAGTTAGATGGTTTTATAGTTGTGCTTCATCATTTTCGATTTTTTCAAATTTTTTTAGGTGCTTCAGTTTTTTCAGATCAAAAGGAGCATTCCGCTCTTCATGTTTGATATGTTTTAATGAGAAAAAGATCAATATTTAATAAAAAGGAAAATTAGTAAATGGAAAAGAAAAATTAGCAACGTACATAACCAAAGTAGGAAAGCAAGAAAGAAAGGAGTGAAAATAGATCCTCAATGGTTACATTTTGCATTTGTTAAGCTGGCTGTAGCTGAAAATGAAAGGACTTGTTGCAAATTATTTCAAGAGGAGCTGGACTATATGGTTCTGTGATCAGAGCAGTAAGCTTGAACCATGATAGAGTAGATCTCAAACATGCAATGCAAAAATAAGGGCATTTAGATTCCCTGCTTTTCTTCCAAGAAATATTTTAAAATAAATTAAACAGAGTTAAACATAATTGAAATAGTACAGTAAACCATATTACGTATTTTCCAAAAACTGTGACAGCAAGTTGAGATGCTTGTGATAGCAGCTTGATTTTCCAAAAAGGCTAATCTTTTATCAATATCAAGTAACTATTCATAAATCAGAGATTCATCATTTGCCAGATCCACCCAAATGTTAAGACATTTTGCTAATGTAGTAGCAACCGAAACACCACCCGACAGTGGAGACCAATTATTTCTGTCAACATCAGTTAAATTAGGGCAAAAAATAATTGAGGATTATGCACTATAAAGTTCCATAAGCCTGTTGATTATTTGTAAGCAGTGTGTAGTAAAGAGGATTGAGTCACCAGCATATAGGATATGTGATATAGGCTCAGCTGATCTGCATTCTCGTATTTCCCTCCATGCTACAGTGTTTTCTTCTTTGATGATTAAGGCT